TGTATATATGCGTCTAAATTGATTTACCTATATATATAGCTGCAACAGAGATATCCAAAGTCCAAACCAAAATTGACAATAATAATCCTTTTCAGCTATCCTTGACATAAATATTTAGTATAATATTTATTATACAAGTGGTAAGTTTCAGATTTAAATTCATGTACGAACGTCATGTACATTTATGTAATATAAAGAAATTTTTTATAATATATATGAAGTTTTTAAATATTTTTAAAATATTAAAATATTTACTATAAATAGGATTTTAGTAGTGGATATTTATTTACCTTTTAGATGCAAGTTAACAAAAGGGATATACATGAAAGATAGTAGAATTTACGATGGTGAATACACTATTCAAAATTTTCATGAGGATATTTATGTCAAACTCGAGTGAATTTTGCATCGTATCAACGTTTATTAGTCAATAGCTTTTTTTTAATCGGATTTACGATGAATTTGAAGTTTTATAAGTTTAGATATTAGGTAATCGGTTTAATTAATTATTCATTTATTTGATACTTAATGAGGTTTGATAGTAGTCATTGATAGTATGAGTTTTCTAAGTTATAAGGAATTATCCACTTTGAAGTGATCAAGTATGATTTAATTTTAAGATATTGAATTGGATCCGAAAAAGGCGCATTTGAAAGAGGAGTAATCTTTTTTTTTATTTTAGTAAAATATGGTTCTCCAACTCCTCAAGTAAAATAGATTGATTGAACCAATTTAGTTATTCAAATTCAACTTCAGATATAGGATAATTCACGATTACCGCATTAATTTGTAGGACTGCTATCTAACTCTAGCTTCGTCTTCGTGAAGCTTTTTTTTTTGTTTTTTTGGAAGTCAATTGCCAATCTTACTTTAGAACAATATTATCTCTCATGTTGAGGTTTTATGTTGGATCACCTTCTTGTTGATCTGTATTTCCCTTGGTATATATTTCCTATTTCTGTAGCAACCAAAAGATGTTTAGCAGAGTTGTAAGGTGTTCACAGAATATTGTCACATTCTTTGATCAATCAAAGAAAGAAAGCTTATTCAAGACCAAGTAGAATCATCACAGATAAGCTTTTTGAATTATTATCTTTGTCACAGCCTCTGTTTTTATAGCTATGTGAGATCAGGTAAATCCAGATGGATGAATAGACCATAAACAATGCTCTTCAAAACAAGCATGTTTGATTTCACTAGAAAGTCAACAAGAATACTTGATCTTTACACGCATAAGTCAAGCTTTTTATCAACAGATGTAGACCAAAGCAAGACATCATCAAGCTTTCAAGTCAGAATTCATGGGATACCAACAACAATACAATATACTTTGGTGACTGGTTGAGGGATCATTATCACACAATGGCACATACACGCAGAGTTATATGGCACACAGACCAGAGACTAAACTATTTGTTGTTTCATAGATCCCTCAAACATTATTACCATTAGAAGGAGAATCCCTGTTCAGGCCCCCAAAAATTGTTTAGTTGACTCTGTATGGTTAGTGGGTATGGGATGTCAGTAGCTGTCAGTGGGGCTACATCAAAATGCCCATTTTGCTGTACTGTCATTGGGGCTACATCAAAATGCCCATTTTGCTCTACAATCTGCACCATCAGAATTTAATTATAATGACAATCATAATAATAATTTTAAACTCATACTAATCAATCATTTTTATCCTGAAAGTGACACATAATTTATCTTACCTTCTCTTGAAGAAATTCATTGGTGGCCCTCAGCATGCCCTCCTGTGTAATGGATTGATAAGTCAAGGCAAAAGCCAATTCATAGCTCTAGCAATCATTTTGTATTTAATATGATGAAATGAAGGGCTCAATCTTCTAAAACATGATAAGAAAATGCAATAATTCATTTTCTATGTTGGTGTCAATATGTTCGAAGAAGATCTATAGATGCATAAGCCTCGGAAAAAATGATAAGGGAAGATATAAGAAAGTTTTATGAGGAATCATGAAAACAAAATATTTGAATTTCCTGCAAAATGATAAAGATTTATATAGCTGACTCGAAGCAGTAGTAGAGACACCATGACTTGTTGTTGTGTTTGCTTCTATGATATATGGAATGCAAACTGGAAAAGGAATACCTTGTTCTTCAGGGACTGAATCTCTTGGAACATGATCTGCATCTGCAATCCAGTGTCAAGCTTATCAGAAGTTTAGCATATTTCACATTTACTGATATCTTTATTATTTTCTGCATCTGTCAGCATGTGATGCAGGAGGAGGAACCTCCTTACCTTCATGGTGCGAATGTGTTCCATCCAAATCTCAAGGTGTCTTTCTAATGCATACATCTCTTCCAGTGTCATATGCCCAGAAGTTCCTTCTCCAAACATGTACCTGCAATTTATGCAAACCAAAGTGCATAGTAGTACAAGTGTATAAATCCTCTCAAATTTAGTTCTAGAATCGAGTGCAATGATCCCTTCATGAGACAGACTTCTGGAGTTTCTGACAAGCCAAAGCTATGGAATTCATGTATTAGTAAGTGAAATCAGTGGTTTTAGGGTTAGATATAAATGAAATCGAATCCATCAGTAGATTTTGCTACAATCCAGTGGCTGCTTTATTGTTTTAGGTGGTATATGGTTCATTGTTGGAATTGGAATTGGTACAGGAATTAGAAATTCACTGGAACTGGAATTCAAATGTTCAAATCCTTTAAATTGTTTGAATCCGTGATTTCAATCAGAATAACATTTCCTTTTACATAATTGATTTAGAATTGAATTTTGAATTCATTCAAGAGAAAAGATTTCTCAATAACTAGCATAATTTATTAACTCAAATTTCAAAATATTTTTAATTATCTACGGAATATATATTACATATTTTACGTCTAATCATGGTATATTATATTTATATAATTTGAATTACATAAGTCTAATATACCATGACAAGTTAAATAAAGACAATTGAGAGCTAAGCTGGAAATGGACTCACTCTATCTCGGTGTCCGTCTCCAACATAGGACATTCTATAAAAAAACAATTCTCACGTCAAACAAATCAGATGTTTTGCAAGTTTCATCTCTTTGCAGGATCTGAGAGAGAGAGAGAGAGAGAGAGAGAGAGAGAGAGAGAGGAATCCAGGAGGAGAGAGAATCTTCAGCTGCTATGTAATCTAGAGAGGAAGTTCCTGTTAGTCCTATAAACCGAAATGAAATAATAGGAAAGAAATGTGGAGTAGTGTAAGTTGTATTCTGTCTTTCTTTCCTTACAGAAGTGCAGAGTAGGCTGTAACCTCATGAAAATGCATCCTCTTTTACATATAATCTTCTTTGTTGATATGTTAAATTGCTAATGATTCTATTTTGATCATAGATAGAATAACTTCTGTAAAATTACCTCAGACTCTTGTGCAGGAGATTGATCTCTTGCTTCAACATGGATATCTCTCTTTCAGATTCCTAGTAAAATGAAGACAATATTAAACCATGAGAGAGGGTTGTAGTAGAAGATATAAACTTGTCAAAGGTATTTTTTTTCCTTATGATATGATCTAATGTTCTTAGAACCTCATCTTTTTCAATGTTCAAACAGAGGAAGGTAGAAAAACATAGCTGGTATATATGAAATACGCTTCTTCTTGTCCACTTCTATTTCTTTTGAAGCTTAACCAACAATTTTCATTTGTAATGGGAACTTCTTTCACATGTTCACATAATATCTATTATATTCTTCTTCAAGTTAAAGGAGGAAAAAAAGAAACATGATGCTAAGGATTTTTATACATAGGTATGAAATTTAGAAAATTTGAATTCCAAAAAACTTTATATTTCTAGAAGTATTTTTCATCTTTCTAGAACTTTTTGGAGCATAATTTATATTTCCATCTCTAACCTAATGTGTGCCTGATATCCGACAAAAATCCCCACCTATTAGCAATCTTTATTACCAATTTGTAAAGAGAAATAACATGGACTGAATGTGTTAAATTATTAAATTCTGTCAATCCATGTAAAAGCTTAAGCAGATAAATGAAATAGATTGCATTTATTTATATTTGTAACTTTTCTGTAATCATTGAGCTCGCAGAATAATTCAAATCTTATGCATAGATCAAATCCATAAATTATTGACCCTTGCCAATCCATCTAGTATCTTAATTTGATAGATGAGATAGGTGATAGGGAATATTCTGGTACCGCCCACGCGACAACGGTTGACAGCCATCTCAGAGTCAGTATGGCATCTCGAAGTTGATGTGGTGCCTCGGAGTTGGCAGTGTGCCTTGGTGCCAAGGAGGCACACGTGCGAGTACGAACTTGAAGGGACGCAGCATCCTTGTGGTGACATGCGATTGTGCCCGCGCCGCCCAAGGTCATACAAGACGGCGCCGTGCAACACAGAACAATACAAGTCGACTCGCGCCCGAAGAATACATATCGACTGCCCGGAGCATCGAAGACCATTAACAACCTGAGTACGACCGACTTCCTATTTCAAGTATAAATATTGACCCCTTAGTCTACGCCAGGGGATTGGACCTCGGACACTGAAATCACCCTCAAACACACCTCAGTCTAATTTGAGCTTCGATGGGGTTGAGTCGGGGATCCCCCTCCTAACATTGACCTTTTGTGCAAGAAGGCAATGTTGAAGCGAGAGCTCAAGTCTCATCTTGAGTCAGTCCAGGAGGCGTAAACCCCAACCCGACCTTATCCTTCCATCACCACCTCGAACATCCACGTGGATGCCCTGGCATGATCGGGACCGAACCAAGCTGTACCGACTCCTGGGACACGGCATGAAGACACCAATATTTTTGGTGCTAAAAGAAGGGTCCAATGTCACAAGAGCGGCCACCACCGAGCAATCTCAGCGAACGCCCCAGTGAGGAGGCACTCGCCACCCACGCCACCTTCAGACTTGCGGTGCAATTGCCCACTCTCCCTCACATGGATAGGAGTGCCTTGGCTCAGACATTGGGTCGATATTTGCATTTGTTCAACAATCCAAGGCTCTCACCTCCTAGGGCCGGAGCAAGGTAGCTAATCATCTCTACCAAGATGTTCCTCAGCCTCACCCACCAAGTGCAAGTGTTGGCGGGGATAATATAGCCCATTGCACCCCGTATAACCTAATTAGCTTAGCAGGTGGCTCCTCTCTCGAGTCGTCACTCGAGATCTAGCCTGCACTCACCCCTACACCTCATGATGCCGCCCCGGTCGGCTAGCCCCCCTGGCTCCGAACGTTCACCCATCAACTAAGGAGCAACCGGGAGACCTGAGGCCAACCACAAAGCGCAGTGCCCCCATGCCCAGATGTGCTACCTCGACCTTCCTCAAGCTCGACACTCTATCGTTCAACTTGGCTAATGACTCATTTTGGGCCCAATTATGGTTTGTAAATTGGGGCCTGGACAAGGTCTAGAGAGAATTCCATAAGTCCAAAGAAGAACTTGGGGAAAGCACCTCGGCAGGGTCCCCCTTCGTCCAAGAAATCTAGGACAAACATATTCCCCTCAACTTCCGCCTCCTAATGTTTAAGGCCTATAATGGTGGCTTCGACCCAACGGAGCACATCACTACCTTCGGAGCCCAGATGGCCCTATACGACACTTTGACACCCTAATGTGTAGGGCATTCCCTACTACCCTTGGAGGCTTGGCTTGGATGTGGTACAACCAACTAAGGTCGTCCTCGGTCTCATCTTTTGACCAGCTCACAAGGGAGTTCGAGCTTTACTTATTGGCCAACACGTGGCCTAAACCATCTACGGCCGTGCTCCTCGAGCTGAAACAGGAGGACAAACCCCTCTCCCTCTTCGTCGCCCGCTTTCGCCATTAAGATCCGAGGGGTTCCAAACACCCACCCCTTATTGGTTATGCAGGCGTTCATGATGGGCCTGTGACCTTTAAGGTTCTTTTAGTCATTGGTCAAGAGGCCACCAACAATCATCCCCGAGATGCTCCAACGAGCCAACCACTATATTGCTGCCAAGACATTGGTGGCAGAAAAGCACGAGGAGTCCCACAAGAGGCCCCACGTGGAGTAATCCCAGGGCCAATCCTCGAGGCCACCTAAAAGAAGGCTCAACCAACCCGAGCCATCACTCCCGAGGCCCCCTCTGCCACCTCTTAACTCATTTAGAACAGAGATCTTTCTCTAAATTAGGGAGAAAGGGCTCTTAAGAGAGCCTAACCCGTTGAAGACTCCACACGAGTTCAAGGATCAATCTAAATATTGCAGGTTCCACCATGACTATGGCCATGACACCGAGTGCCGAGACCTGAAGAACCAAATCGAGAAGCTCATTCGTAGGAGGCACCTCGGGCGCTACCTCAGGAAGCCTCGAGAGCCCTCTATATGCCCTCACGACCTAGTTGAGAAGCAGATTGACGTCATCATTGGCGGCAAGGTATACAGTTTTAAATGATACCGTCCGGTACGGGCGGTACGTACCGGTACGCGGACCGCTCGCTACCTAACAATATTTGTTTATAAATAAATAAATAATATATAAAGGTGATGTCCCCTTGTTTTTCTACGATGTCGCCCCGCTTGGGGAGGAGAGAGGCGATGTCGTATATTTTTTTAAAAAATTTATATATATAAATATATAAATAAAAAGATATATAAATAGATTATATATATATATATATATATATATATATAGTGGCGACGTCGCCTCATTTTTCCACAACGTCGCCTAGGGAAAAGAGAGGCGGTGACATCGCACATTTTTTTTTAACTTGTATATATAAATATATATAAATAAAGAGATATATAAATAAAATTATATATATATATACGACGTCGCCTTAGTTTTCTACAACATCGCCTAGGGAAAAGAGAGGCAGCGACGTCGCACATTTTTTTTAACTTATATATACCGTTCAGTATATATATATATATATATATATATATATATATACTGAACGGTATACCGAGCGATATACCGCTCGATATACAGTACCGTACCGTACCGAGAGAATGTCGAAACTTCGGTACGATACGATATTTCAATCCCTGATTGATGGTCCAACATCCAAGGGGGATAGCTTGTCGGGATGCAAAGCCTACACCTGAGCTACTATCAAGGAGCATCCCAGGTGAGGGATGGGCTCGAGATCACCTTCGAGGCAGGAGAAGCCGAGTACCCTGACTACGATGATGCCTTAGTGATCTCGGTCAGAATTGCCAACGTCTGAGTAAAGAGGGAGATGGTGGACATCGGTAGTTCCGCCGACGTGCTATACCTCAATGCCTTCCAGAAGCTCGGCCTGACCAATAAGTATCTCACCCCGATGACCTCGGCACTCACTGGGTTCATGAGGGATTCTATCTTTTCCCTTGGAACCACCACTATGCTCATTAACATCGGGGAGGAGCCAAGGTACAAAACTTTAATGGTCATGTTTATGATGGTCAATCTCCCTTTGGCGTATAACGTGATCCTAGGCCGACCGACCCTTAATAAGCTGAGGATGGTCATTTCCACTTATCATTGAGCAATCAAGTTCTCGATCCGAGCAGGAATCGGAGAGGTGAGGAGCGATCCTTATGAGTCAAGGCAATGCTATCCAACAACAGTCACACACTGCCAAAAAAATGGAAACCCGAGCTACCCCTAGAGGACCCCTGAGATGTAGCCAAAGCACCACCTCATCCAAAGCTGACCGAGCAAGTACTAGAGGTTCCCCTCAACAAGAGCCGACCAAATAAGGCCGTCGAGATCGGGTTTGCATTTCTGAAGAAAGACTAGGTCCAACTCATCAACTTCCTTATAAAGAACGCTGATGTGTTCGCCTGGTCCCCGAAGGACATGCCAAGAATCGACCCTAAGGTCGCATAGCACCAGCTAAACATCTTCCCTAAGGCACATCTTATGAAGCAGAAACTACGAAAGTTTGCTCCCGACCGACTGAAGGCATTTAGTGACGAGGTGGACCATCTAATGGAGGCGGGATTCATAACCGAGATGAACTATCCTCAATGGCTATCCAATGTAGTACTTATCAGAAAGCCTAATGGAAGCTGGAGGATGTGTGTTGATTACACCGATATCAACCAGGTATGTTCGAAGGACTGTTATCCCCTTCTAGGGATAGATCAACTAGTAGACGCCACCTCGGGACATAAACTTCTCACATTTATGAATGCCTTCTCAGGTTACAACCAAATCCAAATAGCCCCCCAAGACCAAGAACACATTGCCTTTATCATTGACCGAAGAGTATATTGCTACAAGGTCATGTCCTTCGGCTTGAAAAATATCGGAGCCATATACCAAAAGATAGTCAATAAAATGTTCAAGCACCAAATCGGGAGAAACATGGAGGTGTATGTCGATGACATGATCATCAAAAGTAAAGTGGCTGACACCCATTTGGCCAACCTAGCCGAGATGTTCCAAATGCTCAGGAAATTCAACATGCGGCTGAATCCTTCAAAGTGTGTCTTCGGGGTCGGTTCCAGCAAGTTTCTCGGCTTCATCATCCACCAAAGGGGGGTCAAGGAAGTTCAACGCCTTATTATCAAAAGACTAAGAGTGCTCAACCAATTCCTATCTCGGTCGGGCAATAAGTGCCTCCCCTTCTTCCGAGCTCTGAAACACTCCAGTGACTTTGTATGGACCCCTAAATGTGAGGAAGCTTTCGAAAATCTAAAGGTGCACCTCGCCCAACTGCCTCAACTCACCTTGATCATGCAAAACCCGCTACGCGGGTTTGTGCCCGAGTTGTGTGCCTCGGCTAGAAGATCCGCTATGGTAAACGTGTGCCCGAGTCATGCATCTCAGCTGAACAGAGCTCGAATCTTGCACCTCGGCCAAGCAGAGCCCAAGTCGTGCATATCGGCCAAATAGTGCCCGAGTCGTGCACTTTGACCAAGCAGAGCCTGAGTCGTGTATCTCGACAGAAGACCCGCTATGATGGACGTGTGCCTAACTCATGCACCTCGGCCAAGCAGAGCCCCAGCCATGCACCTTGGCCAAGTAGAGCTCAAGTCATGCACCTCGACTAAACAGAGCCCGAGTTGTGCACCTCGGCCAAACAGAGCCCGAATCATGCACCTCCACCAAGTAGAGCCCGAGTCATACACCTCAGCCAAACAAAGCTCAAATTGTGCACCTTGGCCAAGCAGAGCCCAATTCATGTACCTTAGCCAGAAGACCCATAATGGCGAATGTGTGCCCGAGCTGGGCACATTGGTTGGAAGACCAATCGCGGTAAACATGCACCCGAGTCACATAGCTCGGAAGAACAGATGACCTACTATAGCAAGCCAAAGAAATGAAGACAAACCACCTTAGATGTAAAGGGCCTACCACGGCAAATCTCCTGCACCTGAAGGCACTGTAGATCCAGCCGAAACGCAGGGACCCCAATCAACCACAACACAAAAGACATACCCCGAGCCCCCTATGAGGAACTGAGGGCATGTCTTTGTGGGGGGAAGAGAATGATATGGAATATTCTGGTATCGCCCATGCGACAACGATCGACATCCATCTTAGAGTTGGTGTGGCATCTTGAAGTTAACGTGGTGCTTCAGAGTTAGCAGCGTGCCTCGGTTCCGAGGAGGCACGCGCGCGGGTACGAACTTGAAGGGACGCAGCATCCTTGTGGTGATATGTGACCATGCCCACGCCACCCGAGGTCGTACAAGACGGCACCGTGCAGCATGGAACAATACAGGTCGACCCGTGCCCGGAGAATATGTACTGACCACTCGGAGCATCGAAGACCATTAACAACCTGAATACGACCGACTCCCTACGACAAGTATAAATATTGACCCCCTGGTCTGCGCCGGGGGATTGGACCTCAGACATTGAAAACACCCTTAAACCCACCTCAGTCTAACTTGATCTTCGGTGGGGTTGAGTCGGGGATCCCTCTCCCGACATCGACCTTCTGTGCAGGATGGCAGCACTGAAGTGAGAGCTCAAGTCTCATCTCGGGTCGGTCCAGGAGGTGTCAACCCCAACCCGACCGCATCCTTCCATTACCACCTCGGACATCCACGTGGATGCCCTCGCATGATCAGGACTGAACCAAGTCGTACTGACTCCCAGGACATAGCGTGAAGACACCAACAATAGGAGAAACTCAGTGGTCTTAAAACCAAGCTACAGTGTGTGAAACTCGAGAATTAAAAGTTTATATAACTTTTTAGGAGAACTTTAAAAAGAAGGTATATAATCTTGAACGAGATAAGTTAAATTAAGATGGATATGTGCAACTCGTGTCCTATAAAGTTTCAGCAGAGATAGGGTTATTCTTCTATTTCACAGCCTCACAAGCAAGAGTCATGATTTTTGATAGAAGGAAAACATGTATCTGATATGTTTTTATTCAAAGGATGACATATCTTTTCTCAAGCTATGTCTAATCAACAAAGATCCATATCACTCTGCAACATAAGTTGTCCAATATGAATTAGTCTATATGTTTAAACAGTAATCTACTATCCAAAGTAATTATGTATGTGCACATGCTAAACTTATCAACGAGTGTTTCTTGATCAATTTGTTGGAAAGCCTCGTTTCCAAGATGAAGGATTTTGGGAATATTTGAAGAGTTTATGGACCTTCTTTTGACGCTCGTCAAGATTCTTGAACTGAAAAATGACAAATTGGGGCAACGGAGTGAAGCACACACATGCCATTCTCTTTAGATTATTAGGACAGCAGAGGATGAATTAGATGCTTTGATAAGATCATACTGCTCCAGGCATCTTAAAGTCAATGACCTAAGCTGATCACCTGGTGCTGCATCTTCCAGATGGTAGTGGCTTTAGTTATTCTCAGACTTTCCAAAGTTCAGCAGACCGCAAACCTTTCCCCTCGGAGCATCATGCAATGTGCCTTTCATGGGGCCATGCCTTCCATGAAAGTGACATTATGTAAAGATGCCAATTTCTATCAATTCTACCACTTATAAATGAACAATCATCAAGATTGAAGCATCAGTAGTTGCTTCATCGATCCCACTCAACCGAAAACTTCCAAGTATGATCCAAGCGAACAGATGAGACAAAATCTATTCATCGATAATATTCTAAGCAGGTGCTGAGAGATTGAAGGAAGGAACTAACCTGTGGTGGATTCACATCAGCAGATGCAGGTTGAGGTTCTTCAGATGTCATTTTGTACCTCTCGATCAGACCTTCCATGGTCCTTGAGATGATTGCAGAACAGCAACTCAGTAAGCACTTGCAGCAAACACCATAAATGCATGAAGTAGTGAGGAGTGCAGACTGAGGGCGTTGGTGTGGTTACCCCTTGGTGGCCAGTTCGTACAGCTTGCCATGCGCAGAGAAGATGATGATGCCAATGTCGGCGTCGCACAGCACCGAGAGCTCCCTCGCCTTCTTCAGCAATCCTGCCCGGCGCTTGCAGAAGGTGACCTGCCGGTGGACGGGGTTCTCGATGCGCCTCAGCTGCACTTTGCCGCGCACCATTCTTGCACACAACCTCCCACTAGTTTAGACTAGCTTCGAGGTTGTTGCACCACTGAGCTCGGGCTCCGCTCTTTCTCTGTCGACTTGCCGTAAACAACGACATCTCCATGAACGCAGCTTCGTCATTTATAAGAGCTCCTTCGATCTGCAAGCGATTGGTGGTGGCATCTTTACACATCACCATCCTTCTCCTCTATTGGTCGGTTTCTACAGACCATGTTTTCGTGCTTTTTCAAATATATCATTTTTTAGATCGTATCATCATAATAACATAATTCGATAGATACGGACTATAAATTCTACGTTATCGACCAAAAAAAAATACATGTCAGAGCAGTTGCAACTGTGCCTTCGAGTCCTTCCAAAGACACCTTTCTGATTCATCGACTGTGTGACAAACGTAAAAGAAAGCTACAGAGCGAGGGCTGCACAAGCTCTTTTGGAGTCCCATCTCATTCCATCCCTCTCTTTTGTGCTGTGAGCACAAGAATCATGTCCAATCAATGGGTAAATAAATGCATGAGGGGAATCCCGATCCTTCCTCCCATCCATTGGCGATCTTGAAGGATTAATCCAGTGCCAGTCGAAGAGCACACTCGGCACATTTTGGCATGAGAAGACATACCTTGGTGGGTGCCTCATGGATGCTGGTGGTTTAGGGCATAAAGCTTCACAAGATTCCTGCTGCTTCTTTTTGCTTAATTAAATGTAAAGCCCAGACATGGTAGTTCATTTCATGCATGGCCTGTTTGAGTTCTTAAGCTCCTCTTTTGTTAGCTACCTTTCCTTAATAGTCTCTCGAAGTCTTCTCCTTCAAGCAGGAGGAGACAAGGAAAGAATATTAGTAGTACGAGTCTGATGGCACTCGACTTCTCAACTACAAGCCTACGAGGCTATCACAATACCATGGTGAAACTTTGAGATCTCTATTCCTCGTCCCAATATAAAAATGTAAGAAGATCAAGTGCCATTCCTTAGGACTATAAATTACAGACAGCTACATTTGATTCCCCATGAAAGTTTCTTTTTCTTGCAGAATGGAATGAATTCTGGTTCTGCTAAGAGAATCTGTTGACTCTGTCAGATGTTGGGTTGAAAAGAAATCATCCCTCGTAATTGGACAAGTGTTCATAGGTGGACAAAAGCTGGAAAAAGTGACATATAGGAATTGCTCCGAGGACAGAGAACCAAATGCCCAACCACTGCAGGAGGTTCCATTCGTGGTCATAGATTATGCAGCACAGGAGCATATCACTTATCACTGTTGTGTTAAAGGAGATTCAACTCCTTTTAGCTGAGCTGTGGGTGGAGGGACCCAAGCTGCCATTGGAGCTCCTCAGCTCTTGCATCCAACCGGGGGATTGCTTAACTCCCAAGGCACCAAACTCTCGTGTGCAGAGGCCACAGCTCCAAAAGAGAAGGCAGCCGTTCATAGGACATCAATTGCACTGCTGCAGACATGTTTCTCCCTGATTCTTCTGCAACAGTAAAGAACTACAAGAACATGTGTGGGAGAAAACAAAAATACAAAAATTAAAAGTAGAGATCTTTTCGGGGAATCCAGTGAATCACTATTAGCATGATCTGATCCAACCAAAGAAAAATCTTTAAGAGTTGAACTCCGTGTCCTTATTGGCTCCAAGCTGTTCTCCATTTGGGCTGGGAAATTATAGAGTATTTCACATCAACTATGGAATATGGTTCTCTTCTCCTTGGGAACATCTGCACAGACTAGTCTGATCATTTTCTTCCCTGTTTGAATTAGAATGACACTCATTAGTTTAAACAAGCGATTAACCTATGCATTGCTGAGGAGCCCATGGAGATTTGTGTTTACTAAAATCTAATGCCATCTTACTCAGGAAGCCGAAGAGAATCTATCTCAAGAATGCAACCTGTAGAGAGTTTATTGTGGAAGAGATTCGTATCTGTTGCACGTAAAAACATATCCAGTGGCTTTATTCATTCACCATGATTCACATCTACAGCTTGAATTACTCTTCAAGGACAAGATGATTAAGTAATGTACTTTATTGGAGCAGGAACGACAATAGGACAAGCATTGAACTACTGAGCTTAGTTCAACAAAATCCTCGCTGAAGTTAAGCTAAAAGCAAAGAATAATGCATTCAGCTGCCAGCATAGTAGTAGTAGTAGTAGTAGTAGATGTTTCTATTGATCCTGTGGGGTGTTCTTCCATAGCACATAAGGTAGAAATTATATATATATAAGACGACATTAATTGGTCCAATTGATGATTACTCTGGTTTTCTTGAACCAAACTAGCCACAACTGTGATTGAATTGGACCCCTCCCATCTAATCCAATCAAATGAAATCTAAATTAAGAGAGAAAATTAAGTGAAATTTAAGAAATATAGGTTAATCATAGATTATCTCCTATAGTTAGCTACATTTAATATCTCGATCCTTACACTTTCAAAAGTCATATTAGGATTTCTATACTTATGAAAGGAAAATATTTAACCTCGTTTCTCCTCACGTCGTTAACTCTGCTGATAGAGATACCATACGTATTATCATACATGAAAAATAACACTAAAATAAGATTAAAAAATAATCTTATAGTGCTATTCTCATTGATAGTAATTTTTTTACTTTTGTAACTTATGTGAAAGTAGCAATCGAGAAACCAATAATCCTATCACAGTCAATCGAGAATCATAAGAGAGATCATTTCTATCAAATGTTTTATTTTCTAATAAAACCTTCGAAAACATAGAGATAAAAGATAAGACAATTGAATAGCATTACCTCATTTCCTTTCATAACAAAACTCCTCTCTTTTTTTATTTTATTTTTTTTGGATGATGAAAATAGCATTATAAAATTATATTTTTAATCTTATTTTAGTTTCAGTTTCTCTACATGACCGCATGTGAAATATTTTCGTCTAACAGAGATGATTACATGAGGGAGAAAAAATGAGATTAAATATTTCACTTTCATAAATATAAAGATCTCAATATAACTATTAAAAATGTAGGGACTAAAATACTAAATATAACTAATTATATAAGATAATATGTAATTAGCCCAAGACATATTGATCCGTTTGAGCCTAACAGGAGTTTAATGTGCCTCAGTCAAATTAAGCCTAAGCTAGACTTAAATTGTCCCGAATTTACATTATAACCTCCTGAATCGTATACTTAGTAACTACAAGGGCATCGGAACATTTTAGCTGTCACAGAAACAGCCCATTTCTTTACAGGCCCAGCCCATGTTGCACCTCGATGGAGGCCACCAGTATTGGCTGTGGTATGTAGGGGTGTGTGTGTCTCTTTGAGAGAGAGAGAGAGAGAGAGAGAGCACGGGCAATGGCTCTTGTTCTGCTTCGAACACCCTCTTCCTACTCTCCACCGTCTACCACCACTCCTCTCCTGCCCTTCACCACCGCCTGCCGTTCTCCTTCCCGCGTTCCTTCATCCGCTGGCCACTGGAAGCGTGTCCGCGGCCTCAGGATTGCGTCAGGCAGCGGAAGAGGCCTCGCCTTGACGCACGCGGACACAAGCGGGGACCTGAAGGAGATACGCGACTGCTGCACCGTATGGAAGTGGAAGGATTTCGACGTCAATTACCTTGTCAAAGGGAAGGGTCCGCCTCTCCTTCTTGTTCATGGCTTCGGTGCCTCCGTCGGCCACTGGCGCAGGTCAGAGGCGAAAAAAAAAAGATTTTGTTTGATATACTGCCCTTCGTCAATCACGCATCTTCTTGTACGCGTCTGTGGTTTCTTGCTGCAGATTTGGCCCCATCCTTATCCTTTTTGCAGCTGAAGCACTTAAAATACATTAGAATGTATGAAATGTTACTTAGATGATGAAAATTTTCCTCCTATGCTTTACAGAAAGTTGGTTTATCTATTAATTAGTGATCAATTTGCTCGTACACTAGAATGGAAAATGTGAAGAACACACTGGTAAGACGCAACATAGATTTAGCTGCCAGTAAATTATACTGTCAAGGACAATCAAGCCCTACTCGAGAGTTTGCTTTTGCTGATAAGAGATTCTAAAATTGCTCAATTTTAAACACTGTATTATCCCTCAATTTACTATCTCAATCAATTTCAAACTTCTAATTTAATGGCCTGTGGTGTTACCTAATCAGTAGTGTCTTAGTGAAAAGTGTTGCAATAAGGGATTGCTTCAAGTTGCTTCCGTTGGAATTTAGGAATATTGGAGTATTATCTGAGTGCTACACAGTTTATGCTCTTGACTTGCTGGGATTTGGTGCATCAGACAAGCCGCCAGGTTTTGCTTACACAATGGAGGGCTGGGCTCAGGTATATCAGTGCTTTTCTTTCTACTTCCAATAATCTAACATTTTGATTTTGGTAACCTGCTCTAAATAACCTACATGTTTTGCTTGAACAGTTGATTCTGGATTTCTTGGATGAAGTCATAAAGAAGCCTACGGTGCTTGTTGGAAACTCAGTTGGAAGCCTTGCATGTGTTATCGCTGCTTCAGGTTAATCTTGCTTTTAGATTGGCCTTTTGGATCATCCTTATCCTTAAAAGTTTGTACTTCTGCTTCATGTTTCTTCAATGCAATAGGCTTTAGAACACATCTGATGTCGAATGGTAGTGCTTTAATTTGTAAACTAGAATCTAATGGAGATCTTGTCCGAGGGCTTGTGCTGCTAAACTGTGCTGGTGGCATGAACAACAAGGCGGTTGTCGATGATTGGAGGATCAAACTTCTTTTGCCCTTGCTTTGGTTATTTGACTTTTTACTGAGCCAAAGGGTGATAGCATCAGCTCTTTTTGAGCGTGTTAAACAAAGGTACATTTTATTGGTAAATATCAGTTTGGCATTCTTATTTCTGTTTAAAGATATAAGTTATTTTAAATACTTGTTGAACAAAGCAGGGAGAATCTCAAGAATATCTTACTTTCAGTTTATGGAAACAAGGATGCTGTTGATGAAGATTTAATTGAGGTAGAATAAAATAGTAGATAATATTTTTATTCTATATTTTCGTGATTCAAATTCTTTTCTAAGCATTAAACTGCATTTTGAGCCTTTAGTTCCTTCGATCCATAATACTTCTTGCCTGCCTGCTTGGGAAAAGTTTATTCAGCTTGTTGAACTTCAGAGTTGAAACTTATTGCTATAGTAATATTTTTTTGGATATGCAGATTATCAAGGGACCAGCAGATGATAAAGGGGCTCTTGATGCATTTGTTTCCATTGTCACTGGCCCTCCAGGGCCAAATCCCGTGTCCTTGATGCCAAAGATTTCTATTCCTGTTTTGGTTCTATGGGGTGATCGAGATCCATTTACTCCTATTGATGGGCCTGTAGGAAAATACTTCTCTTCTTTGCCATCAAATTTGCCAAACATAGAACTGCATGTTTTACCGGGAGTTGGTCACTGTCCGCATGATGATAGACCAGATTTGGTCCATGAGAAGCTTCTTCCCTGGCTATCTAGTCTTCCATCCATGAGCGAGATATCTACTGGCTAGTTGCACTGTTATTCGTTCTTTCGTCGCAATGTTTCAGTAGTTCCTCTGCTGCCAGGAAAAATTCGCCTGCTTGTGCTTCACAAAAGGAACTAGCAGGTTGATGCATCATGATCGTAAACAGCTCTCTCTTGGAAAACTATTCATATATTGTGTGATTTTGAAAAGATAAGTTAGCAGAGACAGAATATAGTTTATGTTGCTACATTTTAGCCATTAATTAACTTTTTGCTCTTATTTCCGGAATCAAGTGAGATCACAAGCTAGTGTCGGAGATGAACTCCGTGAAACATACAAGAATATTTAACACAACACTTCAAAGAGTATGTACAGATTATTCAATTACCTATGCAAGGAAAAGATTTGTTGTATGATTTTGTACCCCTTTCTAGTGGAATTTCTATATGTATGATGAGTTCAATTTTGGTAGCAGTTGTTCCATATGTGAAGATTGCAAATGCATCTGTTTGTGGTTTTGATTCTTTTGCTTCAGTGATGTCTTTTATCATCTGGATGATTTGTTATTTACTCACTCATTAAAGCTTGACTCAAGTTAGCATAAATATATGCTTTTTACAAAGGAATGTGCCTTTGAACATAAATAAATATCTGCTGTGTGATTTGAGAAGCACATATGACAATGATCACAAATGGAGTGAACAATCTAAGAACACTTATCCTATCATAAGTAAAGGGGATCTCAATGCCTTTTTAGGTCCAAACTAATGGATATTAATAACATCATCATCATCCATATTAATCTGATAATAATTATATGTGTTATTTATCTATTTATATCCCAATATATTTCTTAACTTAACTCATTCTATTTTAGAAAAAGAAAAAATAAAACAAGAGGTAGAGAACGGTAAGCTCACCAATCGGAGTTCCTATTTCGCAAGGGGTCGGAATAAAACAAGAAAAGAGGTAGAGAACGGTAAAGTCACCGGTCGGAGTTCGTATTTTAGAAGGGTCGGTTTCGCGACTCCTCTCCTCCTCCTGCGAGTTGGGGTTGATTTCGGCGCGGGAAAGGGCGGTGTTTCCTTCCTCTCGCTTTGGTGTTTGTGCTCGAGATTGTGATCGATTTGGCAATTACAAACAGCGGAAGAAGCTTGATCAGATGGATGGGGATCGGCGAAGACGAGCGCCCCTCAAATCCCGTCATCCCGATTTGAAAGAGAAGGTACGGATCGTTTGTGCCCTACCCCCGAGTGTTGATCCAGGTCTCCTTGTCTGTTTTGCTCCGGGTTGTCTTTTTTCGCTTAAGCTTTAGGGTTCCTTGGCTTGTGAAAACGCTGCACATTGAGAAGTTAATCATTTTCTTACTTTTTATTGGTGTTAGATTCAACCTGGCGATGTTGTTTTCGTACAAAAGATCTGTTTTTGGCTACTGTTTGTTCCGAGAGATGGCCTTTTGACATGATGGATAGGGAATTTGTGGGTGGACGGCGGCACGCATTATTACATGTGGCGCTGCAACTTATTTTGATGTTTGATCTCATTGTTTCTTTAGGCACTCTTACCTTGAGTAGACGTCTTTCCTTTCTCCTCCCCAGCAACATTTTTAACCGTTACTCAAGAGCTAATGCAAAAAGGGCGAGCCTTGGCCCTTCGTAAGGTTGCTCATTGCTGCCCAGGTAACCATGGACAGGGTTAAGTTTGCTTACATTGATCCTATTAGTTGTATGACCCATTCCGAAGACTTAATGGCTCGACAATCCTATTTGAACTGTTGCATTATTCTTTAGTGTTGTGCTAATGGAGTCATGACAATCTATGCTTTGGTCTTTGCATGCCGGTAAGGACAAGCAAGTCTAGCATATTCCATGAAGGAAAACCATGTGTGTGATATATTTCTCCTCATGTTCTCCTTCTGAGAATGAAGCCTGCAAGTGGTTTTATCGTTGTAATTCCTACTGTTGAAAGACCCAACTCTTGTTATGCATTAATCATATGATGCTGAGCGTGAACCTTCTAACTTCTATGCTTCTCTCAAAGTTCGCATCCACATAGCATTGGTGTTGCACTCAACTTGCTATGTTCTTCAGCTAGAGCTGATTGTCTAGCCTGAAGTGACTCTTCTGTTGCTCCTGGGGCTCCTACAGCCTGATGCATAAGACACTGGCATTTTTCTTTCTGCTGTTGATGTTCCATGTTTTTCAATCAAATTCCATTGCACATGTCAAAGTAATTATATAGCTGATAATTTCTTCCTCTTTCATTCTCATTTTGCAATTCTTAATGTTATTAGGCCTTGTTAATCAGCCTTTGGTCATTTGGAATGAAGCTAGGGACTGAATTTTCACCATCAAGCGATTAATAGTGATTATTAATCTTTCTAATTTCAACCTTAATTCTGGATGTGTATTTGATGTGCCTTAGATTTACATGTATCTAGACACCAGCTGGTGACATGCTAAAACTGATTGAACAAAATGTTTTGACACACAATGTTAGTATGTAATGAATAGTCATCACTGAGAGGTATTTTCAATACAGTCAGATGCTTGGATTTTCATTTTATCATCAACAAGAGATATCTTGAACAAATTCAGTTGCTTTAATTTTCTTTGTATGCTACATAGTTTTTATTTACACAACTGCTATATTTTACTACACAATTCTTTACAAGTTAGTTATGACTAAAAGTTCAAAACAACAACAGTTTCAATTTTCTTTTCTTAAATAAATAGCTCTGTATGGTTTCCCTGTTTTCTATTCATCTTAGATTCAGGTTCTCCATTAGCATTATTTACTGCTGCTTGTATCAAAGTTTTCCCGCTCACATTTTAAATTGTTCCCGCTTTTGGTTGAAATCCTGACATTTTGGTACTTATTTTTGAAATTCTTTTTTTTTTATGGTGTATAACGAGTAAATGAGTTTGTTATTTCAACTTATAGGGTTTGCTTGTTCTCATTTTTCTCATAATATTGTTTTCTTTTATGCAGCTTAGACAGTGTTGCTTGGAAAGAATCAAAGAGGAGAGAAACCAATTGCTATGGAAGATCAGGTCGAACAGGCAGCAATCTCAAGAGACAGAGGTCTGTGTTTACCATATTAATAAATTGATAGTAGTTCGATCATCATGATATAGCTTTCTTAGCACACCACACAAATTTTATCTTATTAACAAGTTAGGCTGCAGTAAAAGGTTGATGAAGTGAAATGATGGTCAGAAAGACTGGAGCGCTAAAGGGAGCACAGTCCTAACACCATGATTTCAGGGGCAAACTTAGGTCTGATAAAATTGCATCGAGGTTTTCTAATATTGGTTTTTAAAACCTTGTTTATAACCATCTTCTTGATGGGTTGGTCGCTTGTTATCTACCAACAGGGGATCTTCGTATCCTCAGTACTTTAGCTAAAACTGGATTACCAGCGAGGCAATTGGGTTACTGGATTTTTCACTTATAGGGATTGGTGCAGTTAGCTATTCAACTAGAAATCTCTTATTTGACAAACTAATTAGAAGTGTGATTTACTTTCTGATCGAGTCTTTTAGTCATCTGATGTCAACCTCACTTGCAAAATATAAGCATCAATTGTTGCATATGACACCTTGCCTAGCTTCATCACTGATGGTGGCTTGATTACGTTCTCTAGGACAAATTTGGAAGTTCTTCACAATCTTTAAAGTGTAAAAATGTTCTGGAGATTCTGATTATATTATCTTGTGACTCTGAAATTGCAATCTTACATGTTGTACATTCCTGGTAAGCTTCACCTATAGTTTGTTTTTTTTTATTTTGGATGCTTTATCTATTTATTTGTGTTTGTTGTTTTGTTAATCTAGTTTCTCTGGTTGCCTATATTTCTTCCGTTTATGTTAGCAGGACATTGTGGAGTCAACGTTGAGGGAAATAGTTTCTGATGAGCTGCAGAGAATGCAGCCATCTTTACTTGAAAATCAGAGAAACATTGTTTCCAAGAACAATGATGTAATATGGGAATTTGATGGCCTGCATTTGGAAAACTCAACTGAAACTGCAAGTGAAGAGCTGATGTTGGAGATGCAAAGACTTCTATACGAGGACCTGAGAGAGGAGTTAATTAAGAGAGGTAATGATCTGCTTCCAAGTTGTGCCGCATGGATTTCATTGCAGGGACATAAAAGAATATATTGTTGCTGGCCATATATGATGGTGATGACTGATGACTTTATTGTGGATTCAAACGTATCAGTGTGGAAATCCTTTTGTTTTATGCCGTGATCATTGAAGACTGATATTAAGTTGACATTCTTGTTGAGACTGATAATAAAATTCTTGATAACCTATGTGATTTACTTATTGGAAGACAAAACAGCTTCGAGAGCTCCATCTTTTTTCTAGTTATGTCACTTAAGCTTGTCTTTCTCTTTCTGAATTTTTTGCAATGTGGGCTTCTGGTTCGTAGCTCTGTACATGTCCTAGGCAAGTGCTTACAGTTAAGTCCTATTTGACATGTTCTAGGCAACTGCTTATAGTAAGGTCCTATTTGGCATGTCCCAGGCAAGTGGTTACAGTATTGTTTGAGTAAGTTTTCATGGAAATGAATTATCAAAATCTATGAAGTGATTTAACTTGAGAAAATGTGTTTTGTCTATTTTTTATATTAGTTTAAACTTTCTTATGGTTTAACTTTATTCTGATTAGCTGGCATACATAGATAATGAGTATTTGGATGTCTTATCCTTTAGTTTTGGGATATGATTGCCTAGATTTATCAGCCTGTTGGCTTTTGTAGTTTTAGCCAAGGTTTGAAATATTTTGATCCGATATTGGTTATGACAACTCTTTAAGCCAGTAAGGTATCAATATTGATCTGATATATTGACTTGTACTGCTAAGTTATATGGTCTGGTATTGGTCTTTGGCAGGACCAATAAGTACCAGTCCAACTATCGTATGACGTCATGGTTAAAGGTTCATCAAGAGAACATCTTTACATGGTTTGGGATGAGGATTACCATTAGAGTGATGTACATGCCAAGCAAACCAGTGCCTTTTATATAATTTGTTTTAGGCATCATACTGTAATTTCTGCTGTAATTTTTTATAGAGATTTTTGTTATTTTATGATACCTCATTTATTAATAATCGGCCGGTTGAACCTGTTGCAGAGCTTGAATTTTTCGAAAAGGAAGATGAATACTTAGCTCAAGCAGTTTTGGAAAACATGAATCTTAATGACAACCAGGTAAATATCAATATTTGAAAAGTCTTAAATGTGATACAGAAAATGAAATTTGTTCTCGAGATAAGCTCATCTGCACATCGTATGTTAGTTAGAATAGGAATATGCTGCAAGTATGCAACTTCTCTACACTCATCACGTATATGCACATGCATTATCACATGTTTACATCATAAAAAAATTATTTGTTTGCAAAATAATTAATATGTCCCATGAGAGTTATTTAATTTATTCATGTTACTGAAATAAAACTAGTCTAGAGTGGTCATGATATTACCACAGGGGCAGCTTTTTGTCATTGCAATTTATGCTTTATAGAAATTGCTTATCCTTTTACAATCTGCATGCTTACAGTTAGGCAATCACAGCTTTGACTCCATTGAATGGAGCCAATGGTGGGGGACAGTCATTCTACTACATCCAGTGGTACTTAAATCCTGCTTTCGTTTAGGGTTAAGATGGATTGAGAGGTGCAATGAGGATCAAACATGAAAACTAATGAACAGAGCTGTGACTTACTTTGGCTAGATCTTCCAGACCCATTAGTTTCCTTTGCTTAGATTCAGTGAGAACCAAAGGGTTGATCACAGTCGTGACTATTGGTGCTATATACAATATCCTTAAGTTCCAAGCCCCGTTGCTCGTTAGTCGTATCTGCAAGTAGCAATTGTTAAATGAGATAGTTGTTCAACCTCCTCCAAACAAGTGTGACAAATTGAACGTTTTTGCCCTCTGTATTTACCTCTTCTATGCTTGATTGTTTGTTGTTTCTTTAAGAAAGTCACATTTCCTTCGAACTAACTGGTTCTCGTAGCTCCAATCTTTTTAAAATTTCACCACCTTTTTGTTGATATACGGGGTGTTGTTATTGCTGATCTCCATGCTAGAATGCTGAAAACAACAAAGTATGGTGCCCAATCTGCAAAAGAGGAGAACTGCAAGAGAATCATCATATCATATGCTGTACTAATTGCAATCTTCGGTTTGATGCTGGAATCGATAAGGTTTGCTTGCCTACTGGTCGTGGCATCATTGTCCAACTTGTATGAAGATTTGATAGCAATAATGATGATTCTAGGCAATCAATTATTTTGATTGTTGAATGAGAGTTATCTGCATTTCACTGAAAAGAAACCAAATTCATTTTGTTGACATCTTGAACTTTCTGCAATTCGGATTCCATCTCATATTTTGTGACTTGTTCACAGTTAAATCTGAACTTCCTCAAAAGCCGGTTGGGTGAGGTGCACATGGATCATCTGAACAGAGGATGCAAAGCAACACCTAGTTTCTGTATGCAGGCTATGTTCAATCTCAATGCACTTTTTATACAATGTGAAGTATGTGATACATTTGAAATCGTGATATAACTTGTGATTACCAAAGAGAAACATAGTTTAGCAACCAGTACACATGGCAGTAGACCATGCTACATCAATGCCAAGTTATCATGTATAAAGGGCAGTCGTATGCAGTCGGTATGCATCCTGCATTCTTTTATTTCTAGTGGAGAATGTTCCAGCCATTACATGTTGAATTTTTCATAAAATTATTTATCACATGATATATGCTGATACAGGTGATCTTCTATTTTACAATGACATGGCATATCAGAAGGTTTTCTAATGCCTATCTCTCTTCTGAATCTTGTTTATGGTATTGTGAGATAATCCTGAAGGTTAATCATACAGCATAAACTATTGTTTGATGGATTAACACAGACTCTACAATGAATATGGCCTCATTTCCATAGGATCAAGACAGACTCTTTCAACCAGACTGAAATCTTCCTACAGTGCTTCATTGTCATGGATGCATTGGAGCATGGAGTCTTAGGATTAATTGTCTCTCTATCCATCGTCGAATTTGTATTAAGTTCACATTCACTTCCCATTTATCTACCCTTATCTTTTATCTGTTTATTAGATAACTTCATGTCCAGAGAGATCAATCTATCATGGAACGAGGGATCTAAATAAATAATATATCATGCTAAATTGCTGAATCATCATCAATTGCACACTCCAGCCATACTTTCAAGCATTTGGTACAAGTCAGGTACTTTGATTTCCAAATTTCTTCTTTTTATTCCCCATATTAATTCGTGCATAATAGCCAAAGAAGCTAATCGAACACATCACATGTACACAATGCAAGTGTACGTTATGTTCTCTCTAAGGTGGGTGTCCAATGCACTACAATGTAGGTTTGCTCCCTTAGTGGCCCCAACATAGTTACATATGCCTACCTTGATGCATTGATCAAACAAGCATTCATCTCTCTCTCTCTCTCTCTCTCTCTCTCTCTCTCCGTATAGGCCACTTAACGACTATCTTTTACTATCTGATCGTCGGTACAATGAGACTAGAATTTAAATCGACATTAATATTATTTTAAAAAATATTAAAAATATGATGGATCAAATAATTAATAAAAATATATAAAAATAATAATATTTAATTAGTAGCTGAGTTTATCGGTCGGAATGACATATGAAAGATTTGAATATTTAAAGGAATATATAGATATATATAGTATTTAATTTTGAAGGGGGCAAATGGATAGATATATTTGTTAGGTAGTAAAAGCGGTGTAAAGAAGGGACGCGGCCATTACGACATTTAACTACGATATAATAAACCCCACCAAGGCGAGGTACCACTACAATCCCAAATCAGCCGTTGGATACGACACGTGTTAGCCATCCAGGCTATCTGGGATCGAGCCCCAACGAGGTACTGCATTCCGGCCAAGGCCTCCCTTCTCTGGCAGACAAAGTTGCAGAAGCCCCACCTTTCTGCCAGAAAACCTCTCCTTTCCCCCATCCTCTGCCTCTTGGGAACCTAAGGGAGCGCCTAGATCGCCATCAGAAACCTTGGGAAATGATTTGAGGAACCTTGGAGCGGGTTGCGTCCTTCTTTGGAGCTCGGCAGAGCTTCGAAGGAGAGGTTCTCCCTTTTTGCCTATAAATTCCTTTGAATCTTCCTCAAGATCCAGACCTCTTGTTTCCCTCTTTTTTCACTTGTGTTTCTGCTTAGAGCTGGATCTTTTTTTCGCCTTTCCGGGCCTTGTTCGTGTCGACAATCTGCCAAGAAACCGATCTTGTCGGCTTTTTTTCGATCAAAAATCCAATCTTTTGGAGGGGTTGGGCTCCAAAGATCTGATCTTCCTGCGTTCTCGATCCAGTGGCCGTTAAAGATCGGCATTTTAGCGCTCTTTCACCGTCGGATGTCGCTCCCGTTCCAGCAGCAGCAGTTGCCCCCGCCGCCCCCGGTGTACGCGACGTCGTACCGAGCTCATGGCGGGTCTGTGGGGCCGGTGATCGCCGTTCTGGCGGTGATCGCCGTCCTGGGCGTGATCGCTGGGATCGTGGGGCGGCTGTGCTCCGGCCGGACCATAATGGGGTACGGGCACTACGACCTGGAAGGGTGGTTCGAGCAGAAGTGCGCCTCCTGCATCGACGGGAGGCTGGAGGTGGCGCGGCCCAGCGCCAATGGGACCGGGGCGGCGCAGCAGGCCAAGCCGTCGGATCGGCGGCCGGAGGCCCCAGCGGAGGCCGCGGAGTCGTGATCTGAGACTGACCTTCCGCGGAGCCTCTCTGTTCAAAAAAAAAAGCTTCCTTTTTTTCCCTTTCTTTCTACTATTGCTTTCTTTAATTTTCTTTTCTGAATAGTGTAACTTTTTCTTCTTCTTTTTTGGTGTTTTGCTACATTATGAATATGGAACCCATGGAATGAAATAGATTTGAGTTTTTGGGAACATTGTTCCTTCTCTATGACTCTCTTCCTCATAAATCTCTCTCTACACATCCATAATATCACAATTCTCTATTATACTGCAATGAGATTTTGTGTTCTTTTTGTGATTATAGTCCTATAAATCACATAAGCAGACATACTATGTTCTTTTGTGTTCTATAAATCATATATTTAAATGAGTTCATTCTTTTGTGTGTTTATAATATTCTTCCATTTATTGAACTTAAAACAACCAACATGATAATAATCAAATGAAAAAAATGCTGATTGCATAGTTCTTCAATTCTAAGCAAATGTCACATCATGTCATGCAATGATTGGACAAATTCTCTGAAATCATGTATGCTTTCTAAAAGACTGTGTGCCAAATGTTTAAAAAGAAGAAAAGTCCTAAAAAGATTACATTCTTAATAGTTGTATTAGAAATTCTTTATAATCTACCATCACAATGTTTTAGTAACAATGAATGTGGTGTTATATTGGACTTATTTTATATATTCCTATAATAGATTTTTTTTTATTTAATACAAATTTTGTCAAACCTGCATTATATCATATTTTTTTTATAAATGCCATTTAAGGTTGTTTATAATTTAATAAAAATTAATTTTTTTAATGTAATTAATAAAAGTCATCTACATAGAGATGATGATAGCATATGTGCTTGAGAAAATTAACCATCATCAATCAATCATCAAAGTCTTTACCAATCTGACTAACTTAATTAATATATATATATATATATATATATATATATATATAT